ACACTAAACATTATGATTACTTTAAAAAAGTTAGTTGATATTACATAAATATGAGAGATTCTTTTTCAATCGCCTTAGCCCAAAAAGTCAATGTTCTGGGATTGGCTTCATACTTTGGTAAATTGTTGTCCTATATGATAGTAATAAATTCCTAAAATATAAACTCATTAAAAAAATATTTGTAGAAAGTAGAGGGGGTTGAAGTTTTGACGTTAAGGGTAACATTGTCATTTTCAAATCCGTATAACTATGACAAAAGTTAATGGATTTTAATTTATCTATAATGAATTTTAATGCATTTTTCACGTACTTTTCAAAAATGTATACGAAATTAAAAAAAAAAAATTTCACCCCTTTTTTCAAAATCAACCCTTATTTTTCAATTTTCACCCCTTCGGGTATTTTTTTTTATTTTCATTGGAAAGCTGAGGTTTTTTTCCATGAGCTATGTAAATATGAAAGTGGGACAACAATAATTTTGTGAGAAACATAATATTAAATTAGGCGGTGCCTACCTAAATCCTCAAAGATGATCTCCAGGTATACTCGTTATCGGCACCGCCTACTTTAATATTATGTTTCTCACAAAATTATTGTTGTCCCACTTTCATATTTACATAGCTCATGGAAAAAAACCTCAGCTTTCCAATGAAAATAAAAAAAAATACCCGAAGGGGTGAAAATTGAAAAATAAGGGTTGATTTTGAAAAAAGGGGTGAAATTTTTTTTTTTTAATTTCGTATACATTTTTGAAAAGTACGTGAAAAATGCATTAAAATTCATTATAGATAAATTAAAATCCATTAACTTTTGTCATAGTTATACGGATTTGAAAATGACAATGTTACCCTTAACGTCAAAACTTCAACCCCCTCTACTTTCTACAAATATTTTTTTAATGACTTTATATTTTAGGGATTTATTACTATCATATAGGACAACAATTTACCAAAGTATGAAGCCAATCCCAGAACTTTGACTTTTTGGGCTGGGGCGATTGAAAAAGAATCTCTCATATACCGTGGATGTCCCAGTTACCGTCCACCTAAGACCTAGTTTCCGTCCAGTTTAATTTTCAAAATAACATTTATAAAAAAATTATTTTCTTTTATTTGTTTACTTAAACTAATAAGTCGATTGCGTGCCAAAAGGAATAAATTATTGTTAAAAAATAATTTAAATTACTATACGAGATATTTGTAAAATGGACGGAAACTGGGACATGGACGGTAACTGGTACATCCACGGTATGTACATAAAAAATAGATTAATAGATTAAATAAGTTTGTGAAAAATTTGGTTACCAATATGTTATGTCGAACAATTTAGTATTGATTTCAAATAAGAAGTTATAAAACATTTATTTAAAAATCGATTGCTTAGAAACATCTCTAATTGAAACAGGAAGATTATTTCACAATCTTGCTCCTCTAACAATGAAAGATCGTTACATTGTACAAGTATTATGTTGAGGTATCTTTAAAATAGATCTTCTTTCTCGAAGCCTACTATGTATACTTTCATTGAGGCTTCCTCCTGTTGTAAAGCAAGGAAGAGTTGAGAAGGTATTAGAAGTGTAATTGTTGGAGGTTCCAAATATTATGGCTTGAGTCTTATCATAATTAAGTGCAAGTTCGTTTTCATTTGCCCACTCAACAACATAGTCCATATCTGTTTATACCATCTGAAGTAAATTATCGAGAGACAACAACGGACCAGCCAGATATAGCTTAAAATCATGAGCATATTTGTGGTATTTACAAAATTTTAATTGCCCACCAAGGTCTTGAACAAACAGATTGAACAGCAATGAAGAAAGTGATGCCCCTTGAGGCACACCACCTTTCAGCAAATCCCAATCCGAGAGACCAACATTTTTAAATTAAAAACTTTAAAGGCTGCGCAGTAGTTTTCTTAAGCCTTTACAGCTGCGCAATGATTTTTAGCATGCATAAGTGAAGAGTCTTAATAGTTATAACTTATTAAAATTTCAAATTTTTTTCAAATACATTTTTAAACAAATGTTCTTGTACAAGAACATGTACATTTTCTTGTCCAGGATCTTGTACAAGTTCTGATACAAGAACATGTACATTTTCTTGTCCAGGATCTTGTACAAGTTCTGATACAAGAACATGTCTCAATTCCGAATGCTGAACTTGTTCAAGAACATTACTTGAACATGTACAAGAAAATGTTCAAGTTCATTAAGGAACATGTACATGAACTTGTACATTTTCTTGTACAAGTTTTTTCAGCCGGGTACTTTCTTTAAGTAACGTTGAAGAGTACTTCGAAGAATGACATACGCTATAGCAGTCGATTTTACGGGCAGCTTCTTCACTGAAAATCTCTTAACCCTCGGAGCACACACCTCTTTTTTCGAACAAGTAGCACAGTCTGGGTCGCTGTGACCCTGTTTACTTTAAAAAACTCCCCCATTTTTGAACTAATGGACTGATCAACACAAAAAAAATATTTTTTTATTCATTGAACCTTGTAAAATAAGAATATGCAGTTGAGAAATATTATTAAATTATTTGCATATTGAAAAAAAATTCGTGAAGTTAACTAATTAAAAAGAAAAAATTGAATTTAAAAAAAAAATGTAAGTTTTGTAATTTTTAATATTTTAAGCTAAAAATTGGGATTTATATTCTCGAAGTGTGTTAGAATAAGGGAAAAAATACCACCTTATTTTATTTTTAAAAAAGGTATTTATTTTGTAGTTTAACGAAGGTAACTTTTAAGACGATAAAAATGTGATTTTCGACACAACTTTTTAAAACTATACTTTTTTAATAACATATTTACTAGTATTTTATTATTTTCTTTGGATTATCATGTTACTTATTATTCCTTATTAGTTAGTTACCACTATATGGCCTTAGGTTCGTGTTGTATTGCCGACTTTTCAAATTACACTTCATTGAAATTAATGACAGGGTCTGTGTGACCCAGTATGTGCTCCGAGGGTTAATGGCTTTGATCAGCGCATTGAAATCCATTTTTTTAATCGAAACTATGATCTTCTCTCCGTGTTATTCTATGTCGATATGGTTAATAATTTAAAAAAATGCATAAAAACATTATAAAAACTATAAAAAATTACTTAAGATGATATCAGCGACGATATTTTGCGATTTGTAAAAAAAGGATGACCACAACTGAACCAATTTAGGTGCCCACAACCAAATTTTGCAGTCACGTTGAAAAGTCATGTAAAAAATTTTGATTGTAAACATTCTGGTGGCAGTCGGTATTAAATCACAAAATATAATACATTTGCTGTGTAAATATGCATTGCACAATTACCTTTTCTTTCAATTTTCTTCGATTTATAACACTTTTAAAAATGTGAAAAATACATTTGTGTATGAAAACAAGTGTAAAGAAAATTGGTCAAGTGCGAGTTACACTCGCTTACCTAGGGTTCCGTTCACGTAATTTAAATGTTTATATATATTTAAAACAAATAATTTTTCTATAATTTTGTTTCAATTTGCTTGTAAATATATGGGCAAATCCACGAAACTTTTAACTTTTGTGATTCTCGAATCGAGCACTTAAAAATCTGAATTATTTTTAATTAAAACTTTGGGTATCATTTTTTTTGTTAAATTATATACAAAGGAACATTTATGTACAGTATTAGAACGTGCCACCACGTAAACTAAAAATACAAAGGTTTGATTGAGTGATAGCACTTTTTAAAAAAATTCAATTGAAAGTCTTCTTATGCAAATATCTATTAAGTTAGATAAAAATAAAAGTTCAATGCATTTCTTAAAAGGTGATGAAAAAACAAAAATTTTCAGACCTTCTTCAATGATGTGCCTCTAATTGTATTCCTGTGGCAACAAGTTAAAGATGATAATAAAAATCGTGATTTCATTTAAATTTATACATTATTGGAAGGCACAACTGCATTTTTGATTTACACAGGTCAATCTATGGTGTGATCGAAACATTTTCAAACATATATTTGAACACAAAAACGCCGCTTAAGGATTTTGAGTGAAATAAATTTTATTAAGCTGAGAATATGCTGAAAACACTTTTTTGGAGTATTTACCCCCTCTTTTCTCAAAATCCTGACGTGCTAAGCAAATTTGGGTGACACAATCGTGTTCAGAGGACGAAAATACTTTGGAAACCACTGTACTATCAAAAATAAAAAAAGGTGAATTTTTCAGTTTTATATGTAATTTATTAACATTAAAGAGTTTAACATTGACCGCGTCAGCTAAATATATATATATATATATATATATATATATGTACAAAGTCTGTTATGGTTGGCAAAAAAATTGTTAAAGTTAAGATAAAAAGGAATTTTGAGCTTTTTTCAGGAATTTAGAGTTTTTGTAGCAAAGCAATAATTAAGTCAATTTAAAAAGGGTTCGCTATAATTTTCCTTTAATCTACTCGCAAAAATACATATGTATACTAAGTTTGAACATTCTATCTCCAAAACTGTAAAAGTTAAGGGAGGACACGATTTTTTCCGAAATTTCGAGTTTTTGGAATATAACTATATTCAATTCAATTCCAATCGGATTGGCTGTAATTTTCGTTTAATCTACTCGCGAAAATACGTATGTATACCAAGTTTGAACTTAATCAGTTAAAATGGCTAGGTTTTAGGGGGGGACATGATTATGTGGACGGACATGAGTAAAACCATAAAGGTTTCGTTTCGGTTCACTGCGTGAACGGAACCCTAAAAAACAAATATGTTTGCAGTACAAAGAAAAAGCGACTGTTTGCTTAGATGTTCGCACAAAATGGACTTATGGCGATAACACACACTTGACATTTGTCAAATTTGATTCATTTGTTTTTTATCAAAAGTTACGCAGGGGTACCCACAACCGAACCACTTAACCTATTCTTATTCCATACTATATATTATAATTAACCTCCTTTAATTTAAAGTTTTTCTATAATAGTTTTAAAATGAATTCACAAAAGTATTAACTATAAATGTTATTTTACAGAATGTAAAAGGAGAGACTCCATTAGTTGATAGCAGTACTCTTCCTTTGGAACATAGATCAGTCTACGGTCCACCATCAAATTTCGGATCTTCATTATCACATGGAGCAGAAGAAAATTGGCCCTTAGCATCCCCTGATACACCTCAAATTAAACATTTACAAGTACAGTGTGAAAAAACTCATATGCGAGTTAATATTGAATTTGACCGACCATTCTATGGTATGATCTTTAGTAAAGGATTTTACTCTGATAACCATTGTGTTCACTTAAAACCTGGAACAGGGCACCTAAGTGCAACATTCGAAATTTTTCTTAATTCATGTGGAATGAGTTCTTCAGGTAATCATAATTTAGCTGCATATGGTGCTCCAACTCCATCTGGAAGTTATGTGGAAAACACAATAATTGTACAATATGATCCATATGTTCAAGAAGTTTGGGATCAAGCCAGAAAATTGCGCTGTACTTGGTATGATTTTTATGAAAAAGCAGTTACTTTCAGACCTTTTCAAGTCGACATGTTGCATGCAGTTACTGCTAATTTCTTAGGTGATAATTTGCAATGTTGGATGCAAATTCAAGTTGGTAAAGGACCTTGGGCATCAGAAGTATCAGGAATAGTTAAAATTGGCCAGACAATGACAATGGTACTTGCAATTAAAGACGATGAAAATAAGTTCGACATGCTTGTAAGAAATTGTGTTGCTCATGATGGAAAGAGAGCACCCATTCAACTTGTGGATCAGTACGGTTGTGTTGTAAGACCAAAGATTATGTCCAGGTAAATAATACTTATAATATTTAAGGTAAAATATCACACCTAAAAGTTAATTAGATTAACAGTAAAATTAAGAGCAGTAAACATTGAATAAGTTTCTGAGTAAGAATAAAAATTTAAATAAGAAAAGAGTTATGGGGGGAACTTGTCAATATTCGTCATAGGTTTTCTAGTAAAATACTTGATTGAACTGTAATTTCGGAAGAAGTACACTAACGTCGGAAATTGTCGGTACGGCTGACGTGCGAGGAGTAGAAATTTTGTGCTGACTTTAAAACAAGATATTTTAAGTTAGAAAAAAGATAGAGACTTCTAACTTAGATAGTTGGAAAGCTGATAAAATTCTGCTTCTCAATGTATATCAAGAATTTTTTTTGTTTGTATTTATTACACCGAAAAGATTTCAAGAAAAAATTATGCAATTTTCTACTTTCGTACTAATGTTTTTTGACTCCCGGCATAATCTAGAATAATGCATGGAAAAATTTGACAATTTTACAACATAATCTTTAGGGTCTTAGCTTTAATTTGCATTTTTGAAACTTAAAAAATGTTTTGTGGTTCCTGAAATATGTTAAAAATGGTCCGAGCATGTTTTCCTAAAACTCAGCCGTCAATCATCACTTATCGCCGCCTCGCTGCTGGGTTGTAGAAAAACATTCTCGAACATTTTTTAACATATTTCAGGAACTACAAAACATTTTTGAAGTTTCAAAAAAGCAAATTAAAGCTAAAAACTTAAAGTATTAAAAAATTTCACTAAAATATGTGTTTTCTATTTCAAAAATCGAAATAATGCATTTGGACTAACTTCTGATCAATGTATCAAGTAACACAATTGTTAACCCCACATCAGTTGATTGCTTCGATAATTAATACTTGTTACGTTGTTTTATCGCAATGATAAAAGATAGACACAAAAATGACAATTGAAAAAAAGGTACGTAATATTTAATAAATGTTATTTTATACTTTCTCTTCGTCATTTTCAAGTAACATTAGGTTATTTGTAAGTAACTAAATAGAATATTTGTTATAACAAAATTTTTACAGTCCTTTTTCATCAATAATCAAATATTATATAATTATGTTTATTTTTTAACCTGAAACAAATCTTTTATGTTTAGGGAAACCTAAGCAGAGCTGAAAAAAAACAAAACTTTTATAAATAAATTAAAAAGCTACCATAAATTTGATAATTAAACAAAATAGAGCAGCTACACAGAGAGAGCAACGAAGGAAGGAAAAGGAGCAAGAAGACGAAATGCCTATTTTGCAACTGAAGTAACTTGTTGAAAGACGCCGTATCGCGATTCGTAAAAGAATAAAAAATCACAGAAAAAAATTGAAATCAAATATAAGGGATAATCAATTTAATGAAGAAGCAATGCTGCATATTGATTTCGCTGAAAATTTCCTTTGCGTGGAACAAGACGAAGTACAAAATGCACATTGGAATCAAGAACAGCTAACTTTGTTTACTACTGTCTTTTATCACAACGAAGAAGTTCAATCGAAGATTTTTGTGTCTGACAATTAAACACACAGCCCAAGTAGCACGATATATCAACCAGATGTCACGGTGATATCACCGGGGAATGTCACCGTGACATCAGGAAAATGTCAAAATGTCCGCCTTACGGTGATATCACACGGTGAAATCGAGGTGATATCACAGTCATATCACGGTGATATCATGGTGATAACACCGTGACATCTGGTTGATATATCGTGCTACTTGGGAGGACTGTCAGAATCAGTGAAAATATTTAAAATTTTGAATGAAGGGCCTTCATAGCAATTGAACCCATTAAATACCAAATGTACAAAATCTGTCCATGAAGTTTGACTCTTGCTTTTTATGATAAAAGGTAAAGAAAAAATTTTGCTATGCCAATTTCTTATATACAGTTTAAGAATTGCTCCTTCAAATTTCGCAATGAAAATTAACGTATGTTTATAAATAAACAAAATTGCAGGCAGGTTTTTAATAAAAAACACGATTATCTTCAGTTTTTTTTATTTATGAATTTTTTTGGGCACTTTAACTTAAAGGAATATTTTTTATTGCTACACATATCTTGACAAGAATTAAATATTTTACAAACAAATAAAGTTATCGTAATTTTGAACTTACCAATTGAAAGTTAAGATTTTCAAAAAAAGGGGTTAATTTTGAATTAAAAAAAAAAATTCACCATTCGAAAGAGCAGAAAAAAACCTTTCGAAAACATTAGGTCAAAATTTTTTTCATTCATTTATATAGAAGTTACGATTTTTTAAAAAATCCACTGTTCACATTTAACGAGAAACTTGAACGCCCTCCCCCCTCTACAGTTTTGCATAAAACTTAATAATACTTTACGGGTGAAGTAGTCAGCCATATTACTAAAGTTTGTGCAAATTTCATCCCGATCCGAAAACCTTTAATTTTAAAGTTGGATCACTTCAGGAATTTTGCCTCATATAGATTAACTAACTAACTAACCTAACAGTCACATAACCTTAATACTGATCGAAATGCAGAAATTTTGCAAAGTTCACTATAGATTGGCAATTATGTTGTTCTTTTTATACTTAATATTTTGCATAAAAATATATATTACCTGTGAATAATTATATACTAGAATTTTTCATTTTCTCAATTATAGTATTTTTCATTTACAAATAATGATCTAAAAATTTGTTTAAATAATAAGATTAAGAAAAAATATAAGAAACACTGCCGGGTAAAAGGGCGCCGTGAAATTTTTGCACGAGGCGCTGAAAAGACTAAGGTAACCCTATTGAAAATCAATGTATATGATCTTGAACAAAAAAATGTACATGTTCAGCAGCTGAACTTTTACCTGTTCTGGTGAGAATATGTACAAGATCTTAAAAAATTTTGGCACCAGAATTTGGAAGAAGATCTTGTACAAGAAAATATATTTAATATTTGTATACAAGAAAATGTACGTGTTCTTGTGTGTACAAGAACGTGTTCATGTACAACTAGGGGAGAGTGGGGAGTTGTGCTCCAGGTTTTGTTTTTCGATCAAAACTATTACATAAATTTTTTTTGACTATTCTATTATATAGAACTTTTAGTACACGTATAAACGCAACTTTTGGCATAATTGATTAATTAAAATTCAAAAAGGAAATAGAAATTTTGCTTGTTTTTCGAAAATACTGGTTTTATGACTTTTCAAAAACAGTTGGGAGTTGTGCTCCACAGTCGAAAATTGAAGAAAAGTACATATTTTTTAGAATATTCTTTATTTAAATTATGAAATGTGAATAAGTAAGATAACTTACACAAAATAAAGTAATAGATAAGACAATAAAAGATTAATTTTAGATAATTTAGATAAAATTAATTTATTTTAAAAATAATTGAATGAAACTAGGTAATAAATTTCATTTACAGTGAATACAGTTGTAAAAAGTCTCATTTCACTAAAGAACAATATTTAAATTGCATAAAAGATTATAATTAATCATCAATAATGCAAAATATAAATAGAGAGTGCATATTAGGATTAAAAATGGTTAAATATGATGTGTGGCACAACGCCCCATTTTCTACATTTTCAAAATAGTCACGGAATAATTAATACATCGAATGTATATCCAAATTTTTTTAATACTTCAAAAGTTATTAATGACAGCTAATTTTTATGCATTAAACATTGTGATCACTTTGAAAAAATTAGTGGAAATGACCTAAACATAAAAAGACAAAAAAACTTTTACTCACTATTTGTAAAAACACGTAAAATGCTTCTAAAGATGAAGGGTACCACAAAAGTTAGTTCTTAACAAGAAAAGAATATGCCAACAGTCGAAATTTATCATATTAATAGCCTTAATAACAAAATTAAGGTGGAGCACGACTCCCGACGAGGCACGACTCCCCATTCTCCCCTACTTACACATGAAACTGTTCATTTTCTTGTACAAGTTCATTTAAAAAAATTTTTTTTTTCACATTTGAGATTTTAATAATCCAGATAACCAGCGTACTAGTACGGTGCAAGTACAATACGAGTACGGCGCACTAAGCGTACTAGTACTGTACCAGCCATCCACCTCCGAAAGGTACCAGGTACTGTACTGGTACGTCGTATCGGTACGCTGTAATGGTACAATACTAGTACGATAAAAGTATGGCGTTCTGAAAGTCTTCTGTGAGTTAGTATAACGTATCGTTATTGCCCTGGTACAATACTAGTATGCTATATAATGTAAAAAATTCTATACCCTCTCCCTCTCTCCTTCTACAATAGTATTTTAATTATTTTAATTTATTATTAAAAGGAAAATCTTTGGGAGGACTATAAATATGTTATATATGTATAAAAAAAACTATAGCGATTTAACACAATGCAATTTAAAAATATATCAATATCATCAAGATTAAGTACGAATTTTTTTCAATATAAATGTATAAAAAAGTTTATAAAAGAAAAGATTTAGATTTTTTGCAATCAAAGAACACCATGGCACAAAGTGTCATGTTAAAGCAAAACAACATAAATCTTAAAAACTAGGTGTTCATTTCATGACCATTTAGCTTCCTCATCATGATACACTTATATTCAAGATTAAAAGAAGGATTACAACTAAAATAGCGATCAATTTTATAAATATTAGTAAAATGTAAACTTTGTATACCTCAATCGATTCGTTTTTATGCCAGGAATACAATTTTGAAAAGAATTAATTAAAATTTTTATATCAGAAAAAGTAATTTCAAAAAATACAAAAAACGATTATTTTCAAAAAAATGATTTAATCTATAGATTTCAGTAAAATATGAACTTTATATAGGCTAATCGACTCGTTTTAATGCAAGAAATAAGTTTTTTTACTAAACAAAATTAAATTTACAAAGAAAAAAATATATTGAAAAATTTTTTTTTTAATTTTGAAAAAATTGTAAAAAATAAAATGTTGTGAATATATTCGGAAATCCTTGTTTCAGATTTTAAGTATTAATGATTACAATAAGCATACAA